AAGGAGGTCTTTGTGCGTATGTACACACATATATCATCGCAAGGAGGTCTTGGTGCGTATGTACACACACATATCATCGCAAGGAGGTCTTTGTGCGTATGTACACACATATATCATCGCAAGGAAGTCTGTATGCGCGATCTTGCTTTTTGTGTCTCTGATGCGGGAGGCTCAAGTAAGGTTGTGATCTTGATCACTTGGAGGGTGGCTTGGGTGTTTGCGGAGTGCGCATGGTACTGGGAGTCTATGTGAGTTCTTGTGTGGTACTTGCCGTGTATATGTAGGTATGAAGCCTCCAGTCCATTGCGCGACCGATTATGGACAAGTTGTTGCAATATCAAGCATTTCAAAGAAAGTAAGCGTTGATAATTATTTTAACGATGTATCTTGCATCGCGAACTTATGATCCGGTCCTATTAGTCAGTAAACCACTACAGTCATAGACCTACTATCAAATATCCGTTGTAGCACAATATATTTAATCTATCCCGCCCCGCCCGTATGTAAGCTAACCACCAGACTGTACCATGACGTGAAATCACACACTTTTAGTGTGATTCGTATTTCATATACGGCACATTTTTTGCTTATTTAGCTATACATGCTCACTATTAAATTATGAACATACATGTTGTTCACATGAGTTGCCGTGTATCCGTGCTTCCGTGGTATAGTAAGAACCACACGTTTGGTGTGAATGGAATGTACACAATGGATATATACGTTCTTTTAATTAGAGAGATATACATACATGTGACGATACCGAATATTTTTGCTTTCGTGAGTGCTCTTTCTCTCAAACCACCAGCATCTCTGTTACTATCTCAACATTCAACAATAGCAAAAGCTTCAGAATAACTCCACTTATTCACACATTTTTCGCCAGTAGCAACTGTCTATTCCACGTCTAACACATCCCACGTCTCAATACAACATTCGCAGAACAACGTCGGTCGACTTCGTATCGCTGCTGCCAGCCGAGGCTTCGTATCTCATCTTTTCTCAGCTGGATTTCCATTCGCTTCTCGCGTGTTCCCACGTCAATCGAGAGTGGCGCCGCCTGAGTTCAAGTAAGGGGTACCTTTCTCTACGGAGGCATACCCATCGCATATATATACATTATACACACATACACACACACATTC